AAAATTGAAATGAAATAATTTTTTTGAGTCGAGTCAAATTTTGCTCCCTTTATTTTTTTTAATTATTTAGATTTGAAGGCCATAGCCATTAGATTAAGAGCTTACAAGCTTGCCTATAAGATATCTCTAGTAATAAAATTATGAAGATCAACCGGTGGTGAGTCAAGGAGCACTATGAACAAGGCATACGATCTTAGTAATTTTGCAACACGATCAGCTAGCATATTTGCTTCATGGGGTATCCGGACAAAATCGGTGGCTCAACTTTGTTATCTCAAACATGGATAGCTCTAACAAAGGAGAAGGGATTCAACATAATATCCTAAGCATCAATGAGAGCTACGACGTCGAAGTTGTCGGACTGAATCTGTAATGCCCTAAATTTGATTGGGTTTAAAGTGTTATATTTAAGGATGGTAACCCGACCCGATCGGGTCGGATTTTTTTTTAAAAATTCGGGTTCGGATCGGGTTTAGGGTGGAAAAATCCGATCGACCCGAAAATATATATAATTTTACCTTATATATTTAGAGATAATTACAATAATACCCCTCTCTATATAATTTTTTCAATTAAGTCACTGTTTTTATTGAATAAAAATATTTTTTTTATTATTTCGGGTCGGGTCGGGTTTCTAAGTTATATATTCGGGTCGAGTCGGGTCGGGTTGGGTCGGGTCACGGGTGGAGGACATTTTCTTCTCGGGTCGGGTAGCCCAAAAACCCGACCCAACCCATTGCCATCCCTAGTTATATTGAGCTATCAAAGCATTCTCTAATTTCCAAATTTTGTTTATTATCTTTTCAAATATAATGAATGGTACCAAAAAACATACATTACATTTATAAAAAAATCAGTTTTATAAACCGGTGCTCTGTGTCACATAGTTTAAAACTAAAATAAAACAACTCAGAGTTATAAATCTGAATACAATAATAAGGGTCCTATGAATACACATTACCACTAAAGCTACAATATAGTACTCTGAGGAAGATGCTGGAAGTTCTACTGTCATGGTGCTCCACAAATAGCTCAAGCTAATAACCTGCGAACAGAAAACATCCGAACGTTGAGCTTACAAAGCCCAATACTACAATCGCTACTCTGAATGCTACACAATGCTGGTATCTGGACTCACATAGCCATCAAACACTAGTTATTTGAGGGAACTTAGTGTCACATAACATCGGTAAAACTCCCACTAAGATGTTGAATGATCTCCTGGTCTCACATAGCCATCAAATAGATCATGGAGGGGGAACCTGGTGTCACATAGTACCGATACAATTCCCGCTCAAATGAAGCATTGGCCCGATCTCACACAACCATTAAGCCAAGCTCTGAAAACATTTGTTGTACTGGACTGATACAATCATACATGCATGACTGAGGGCTCAAACAAAACACTAATAATGCCCAACAATGGCAACAAATATAGCCTAGCTACACACCAATGACAGTGCCCCACTAGGGAAACTGAGGTAGCCTCACTACACACTATAATAGCTAGGCATACTAAGGTAAGGTCATCCCTTTACTAGCTTTCATATTGTTAGTCCTTTCATCTAGAACGTTATGTGAGGGTTTACTAATTTATTATATATGTTAGTCTATTAAGCTGTTTTATTTTGGACATTTAACACTTAAGGACATTTTAGTTATTTTTGACTCTAAGGAGATCTCTATGTGTTTCATGACTTTACGATGATTATTGATTATGTTGTTCACTTGTTGTATTATTTACTAGCTCGATACCTTACTCGGGTTCAATACTAAGTAGTGGTACTCTAGTCGTCCTTGACTCTTACTGCCTTAATGAAGTCAAATTTAACCATCCAAAATAAGTAGTATTGATACCCTACATGCATTATCGATATTCGTAGGTCAAGTATCATTACCCCTCATGAGTATCGGTACCAAAAATAACTTATGTTTGCTAAAAAGTGATCCAAAATCAATACCAGGTACCCTCAGTATTGATATTGGAGAGGCATTATCGATACTCTTCCCCTCAATATCGATACTCTCCCCCTCAATATTGATACTCCCTACTAAAATGACCCAAAATTCGAACTTTACCGATTTTCTAGATAATTATGTTTTGTAGAACGTCAACATTTTCTAACGAGTTTAATCTAGAGGTATAATAGATTTTTACATAAATATTTTTAATTTAATATTAAAAATTTAATATATATATATATATATATATATATATATATATAACAAGAATAACTTAATAAAATTTACTTATAAATAATTTTGTATTTTATCATTAAAATGTTATAATCTTATATTTTTATTAAATAAATAAAAAGACAATATATAGTCTAAAATAAATTAAAAAAATTTGAATCATCTAAAAGTAAAGTCGTTTAATTTGAAAATGGTTTAATTTTTTATTAAATAAATAAAAAGGCAGTATATGATTGACAAAAAGACATCAAAAGTCTATTTACTTTTGAAAAAAAAAATGTTGCTCTGTATTTTTTCTCTTAATGTGGCGTTTCAATTCATAAAATAAAATAAATATATTTTTTAATCAACGTTTTTTCGTCGTTGACTATTTACGATGTTAATTTGACAGTTTACGGTGTTGATATTGTAATCCAGGGTGACAGATTCACGTAATAAATAAGATGACAAACGAGTTAAATTGATAACTATAATATGATAGATAAACTATCATATCAATATCATAAACTGTTATATCAATATCATACACTGACATATTAATATTGTAACAATCAATATTAAAAAATATTAATTAAAAAATTATATTAAATTTATATTTTTTTGAATTAGAAAATCGTGTTAAAAAGATAATACAAATAATACGAGAGCTATGATTTTTTTCTCAAGAAGTACAAGATGCCTTTTTGCGTGTATAATTCGATACATAATTGATATCCGTACGATTGATGGGTCTATCCATACCTATTTTCCGTAGGTTTCGTTTTTTGGCCTTTTACCTTCCCCTATCAAATGATCAATATTAAGAGCAGGCTGCAAATCACATGACTGAAACACCCATTTCACTCGCAACCCTCACTGCTTTTGTTCACGTTTAAGCAACACATACCTCGTTCAACTAATCCCAATATTAATATATGTGCGTTTAGTTCATGGAATATAAGATTATCGGTGAGAATATAAGATTATCGGTGGGAATGTAAAATTATCAGGAAATATGATTATTGAGAATGTTATATTTTGTGTTTGGTTGGTTTAGCAGGAATTTAAGATTACCGTGTTTAATTAAAGGAATAAAAGATTATTGGAATGTATATTTAACCAAATTTTCATTATTATATATTTGTTTTACAAAATTAAAAATATAAAAATGTTTAATGAAAGAGTAAAATTTTATTTTAACTCTTGAACTTCATATAAAATTTTAATTTTAGATTTTGTTTGTAAATCTAAAATAGTTTAAGGATAAATTTATAATTGAGAAAATAACCTCAGTGACAAAAAATGCCTTATAATATACGATTTTAACCAACTTTTTTTGGATTTGCCAAAATGACCAACTAAATCGCAATGCGATCGATAATTCGCAACGCGATCTCCGGTATCGCAAATCAGTTTCCAGATTCGCAACGCGATTCTATATATCGCATTGCGATTTTCCAAATTCGCGTTGCGATTTTCTTAATTCGCAATGCGAATACGTAAATCGCAACGCGAATTTGAAAAATCGCAATGTGATTACGTAAATCGCAATGCAAATACGTAAATCGCAATGCAAATACGTAAATCGCATTGCGATAATAAATCGCAATGCGAATCTGGCTATCGCAATGCGATTTACATAGCGCCATTCGTATCCAACGAACCATCCACAGTATATCCCGTAATTGCAACTCATAACCTAAAACCCTAAATCACAACTCAATCTCATCTCCATCTCTCACTCTCTAAGGCGACATCCGTCCCCATCTCCGACGAAATTAGTCTCCATCTCCAACGATATCAGTCTCCATCTCCGACGAAATCATTCACGGTCAGAAATAGAATGAGTGATAGATGGAGATGGAATGAGTTGCGATTTAGAGATTTAGATTATGAGTTGCTGCTGCTGCTGCTGCTGCGTAGTTATATACCCAAAACATTTGTGTTGCGAAACTAAAACCTGTTGCGAATTCAGAAATCGAGTTGCGAATTTGAAATTCAGTATTGCGATAGTCAGAATCTCGTTGCGATAGTCAGATTCACATTGCGATAGTCAGATTCGCATTGATATTTACATATTCGCATTGCGATTTACGTATTCGCATTGCGATTTACGTAATCGCATTGCGATTTTTCAAATTCGCGTTGCGATTTACGTATTCGCATTGCGAATTAGGAAAATCGCAACGCGAATTTGGAAAATCGCAATGCGATAGTCAGAATCGCGTTGCGAATCTGGAAACTGATTTGCGATACTGGAGATTGCGTTGCGAATTATCGATCGCATTGCGATTTAGTTGGTCATTTTAGCAAATCCAAAAAAAAGTTGGTTAAATCGTATATTATAAGGCATTTTTGGTCACTGAGGTTATTTTCTCTTTATAATTTAACCTTCGTAGAATTTTTATTATTCAATAACAGAAGAAGTATATTTTTGAAGAAAAAAAAATTTAAGGGCATTTTAGTCCAAAATACCGGTAATCCAACAATACTTAAAGAAAGGGAGGTAATGACATTCTCGGTAATATACCCAAAAAAATCTATTATTGATAATAAAACATTATCGAAATGAGATTCCCGGCCCAACCAACCAAACATAATAACGTGAATTCTATTATTATGGAATCCTACATCCTTTGATCCAAACACCCTCTAAAAAAAAGCTACACCTCTAAAAAAAAAAAAAAAAAAAGCTAAACTACATATTTTTAAAATATATTGACGTGGCATCAAATCTGAGCGCGTACCATTCGCACAAGTGGGAACACAAAACCCGCCTTTAATAGGATGGCACCGGCAACCCTATTAAAGGAGACAGACCACATACCCGGATTCAACCAAAGCTCCCCTATTCTCTCTCTAGAACTTTCTGATTTTCTTTTAATTTTCTGTTCTCTCTCTTCTTCTTTGTGAAATCCTAACGAAAATCTGCAGATTTTCTTCCGGTTTCCCATAATACCCCCGAAATCTCAGCACTCCGGCGAGTAAATTCTCGTCTAGATCTCGATATCGGTCTTATTTGTTTCGTCTTTTCCGGTGGGTAAACGGGGATAAAAAAAAGAGGAGGGACAGAATAGGAAAAAGAAAGGAAGTCGCATGAGCTGTTTGGGAAATCTGGGTTTTTCTTCTTTGAGTTCGTTGAATTCTTCCAACCATTTCATCACGTGTCTCCTAATTTTTATTCTTCATTATTCCCCACAATTGCCCCCTTCGTTGTTTAATTTCGAAATCAGATCCACTGAACCTTTATTAAATCATAATCCTCTGTTAAATCCCAATCTTAATCCGGTCTTATCCTTAATCCATGGAGTCCTCAGGAAAGAGTAATCGCCGATTGAACGGAGGTTCGTTGTTTCTTTTCCATCTCTTTATTATTTTTATTTCCGAGTTTTTATTCTCATTCTTATGTCGGTAGTTTTTATTTATTTTTTGTTTAATTAACCGTAGGTGCAGCTTATCTGACGCCGTGAGTCATTGGATAACATGCGATTATGTTAATAAATAAAATAAAATGTCTGGCTGATTAAGTTAGTAACGTTATTTATTTTAATTATTAGCTTTTCCTTTTTTTTTTCCTAACAAAAAATGTTATCATCATCTTAAACTATTTTAAGAATTTTTTTAATTCTAGGTTTGACTAGTGTTTAATTGTTATGGAATGTTGTGAGGGGAAATTTTATTTAATAGGCAAGATTGGAATTCAAATGTTCTATTTTTAATAATCATTTTATTATTTAGTTAAATATATCTGCAATTTCGTGTCTTCATGTTAGCTTGCTTGGCGTTGTTTAACAAGACAATTTTTCACTATCATTTGCTTTTAGATTTCCTATCTTAGAAAATGTTTAGACTGAAAGAAGTGTGTTTAAAAATTATGGTGAAAAAATGTTAATTCAAAAAATTTGAAGGTTATGCATGGAATTTATGATGCCTTGGGGGCATGCTGATGAGATGAGGATCTCATTTTTTTTAATTTAATATGTTATATACCTATATTTCTGCTAATTTTCACGATGTTGGAAGTTTTGTTCGAGCTTAACACAAGTTGAAAACAATAATTCAATTTAAGACAATTCTTGGTTACTGTTGCTAAGGTATTTTCCATCCAAATGGGATGAGAAGGCAAGCAAGATCACCGTCAGTGATCGTGATTGGGGCTGGAATGGCCGGAATATCAGCTGCTCATGCTCTCCATGAAGCCTCGATTCAGGTAACGGACCCTCTTAGCTTGGGCCTTCTCTAAATCCCTTGACGAATTTCTCTTCTCTATTACCATCGTATCATGTATGGTGGTCTATTTGTACATGGGCTAACTTTCTCTCTTTCTAATGATTCGTGTTAGCCCCCTTTTTCAATATTTGAATTTTTTAAGCTTTTGGTGTCAATTTGGAGATGGCAGCTTTTTCATTATCGTTTCTTATAATTTGATAGGGATTAATTGTCTGTTTAGGTTACGGTGTTAGAATCCAGGGACAGAATTGGTGGTCGAGTTCATACTGATTACTCATTTGGTTTTCCTGTTGACCTTGGTGCTTCATGGTACACTTTCTGTTTTCCATTCTTTATGTGGTCATGCAATCCTCTTTCGGTTGTATAAATAAATTGTATTTATTTAATATTTCCCAAAAACAATTCTTCAGGTTGCACGGAGTTTCCAAAGAAAATCCCTTGGCACCATTGATCAGTAGACTTGGACTCCCGCTTTATCGGACAAGTGGTGATAATTCTGTGCTGTATGACCATGACTTGGAGAGGTGAGAAGCATTTATGGGTGCCTAGACTTATACTACGATGTAGTCGGATCATTTTTATTGTGCTACTCTTTACCCTTGTTTTCTTAATTCTATATGTTGGAGCTACCATTGAACATTATCTCATGCTGTAAATGGTTGCTTTTTGTTAATTTTGTTTTCCCTTTTTTAAAAATAATATTACCTTTGCAGCTATGCACTCTTTGATATGGATGGTCGTCAAGTTCCTCAGGAGTTGGTTACTAAGGTGGGAGAAGCATTTGAACGCATTTTGCAGGAGGCAAGTGCTGTATGTTGTTTTATTGGTTCATGTCTCTCAAGTAGCTAGCATTGTTTAAAGAACAGAACTTACAGTTCTTTTTTCCCCCTTTTCCTAGAATCCTAGAACTGTCGTGATGATGTTCTGTCTCAATCTGATTTTTCTTCCACTCTTTGTTATATGATTGCAGACAGATAAAGTGAGAAAAGAGCAGAGTGAAGATATGTCTATAAGTTGTGCTTTCTCAATCGTTTTTGAAAGAAGACCAGAATTAAGGTCTAACAAAACAGTTCTCTGTTATTCAGCATCTTTTTCTTCATCTCTTATTTCACAGCCTCTGAAAAGTTGAATATTCAAAATTCCTTTGTTAATCTACAGGTTGGAAGGGCTTGAACATAAGGTACTTCAGTGGTACATTTGCCGAATGGAAGGCTGGTTTGCTTCGGATGCTGATACTATCTCACTTAAAAGCTGGGACCAGGCAGGTTTTATTTGAATTGTTCTTGTGTTTTTTGTGGTTCATTGACTTGTGTTCTTTAACAAACTTATTCAATGAAGCACCAGAATACATTTAGGCAGAGATGTGTCTACTTTTGTTGACAATAGGAACTCAAATATGCAATAGAGATCTAGAATGTTGTTGAACATAGTGTTGGTTTAATGTCTTTGTACTCGATGAATGAAAATCTTTCAATCAAAATTAGGATCAGATCCTAGTTTGATTTATTCCTTCCCCCCAACCCAAAATAAAAAAGGAAAAAGAAACACACAAAAACATATTTTGCATCTTCGGCAAATTTATACCTCATCTATGTAATTTTAATTGTGTGGCTTGAACTCCTTTTAAGTTGCTTATTATGATGCTCCTCAACTACAATGGCTTGCTTTCTCTGCATCCACTTACAAGTTTCTGTTTCCATGTTCTACCTTTAGGAAGAGCTATTACCTGGTGGTCATGGACTCATGGTCAGGGGTTATCTTCCTGTCATAAACACACTGGCCAAAGGTATTGACATCCGCTTGAACCACAGGTAATTTAATTTGAGTAATTGGTTCATCAGTTTGAATGTCCTGTAGCATGTGGATGGGTTTATCAGCTGATGCCTATTTTTGCGATTCATTTTCATTAGAGTTACAAAAATAGTGAGGCGTTACAATGGAGTTATGATTACTATGGAAAATGGAACTACATTTGTGGCAGATGCTGTTATCGTTGCTGTTCCCCTAGGTGTACTAAAAGCCAAGACCATCAAGTTCGAACCAAAGCTTCCTGAATGGAAGGAAGCAGCAATTGATGATCTTGGAGTGGGAATTGAAAACAAAATAATATTGCACTTTGACAAGGTGTTTTGGCCTAATGTGGAGTTTTTGGGAGTTGTTGCTGAGACATCATATGGCTGCAGTTACTTTCTAAACCTTCATAAGGCCACGGGTCACCCTGTCCTTGTGTATATGCCTGCAGGGCAGCTGGCTAGAGATATTGAGAAATTGTCTGATGAAGCTGCTGCAGAGTTTGCCTTTATGCAACTGAAGAAGATCCTTCCAGAGGCATCTGCCCCGGTGAGTCATTTTCTCGAATCTCTATATATATATGGGAGATTCATGAGGATGCTTCAATTGTATTCATCTGTTTAAGTCGCATACATGAAGGGTTGTTTTATATATAAAAATTATTTTGTTAATTTCCGCAGTTTTTTGCCTAGTTCCTGCATATATTTAAATTGAATCATAGTTGAATTTGTAAATTCAACTGTGATCTTACAGTTTGTCGTTTTATTCAGATTCTGATGGTAGTAGCTAAATGTTTTAATTTTCCTGGACCCACAGGTTCAGCATCTTGTTTCTCGATGGGGATCAGACATGAATACACTTGGCTCCTATAGCTACGATGCAGTAGGCAAGCCCCATGATCTGTATGAGAGGCTAAGGGTCCCAGTGGATAATGTATTCTTTGCGGGGGAGGCAACCAGTATGAGCTACCCAGGGTCCATTCATGGTGCATTTTCAACGGGGCAGATGGCTGCCGAGGCCTGTAGGATGCATGTACTGGAGCGATATGGGGAGTTGGACTTGTTCGAGCCAGTGATGGGCGAGGAAGGAGGATTTTTTGTCCCGCTCTTGATCACGCGTTTGTAAGTGGCAAACTGTCTTGTCTCAACCTGCGCCCGGTTCAAAAGCATGTAGATGGTGGAGGTGTGATTTGGGCGACACATTGATCCCAATTTCAAAGTCGTTTTTGATTGGTTTGATGTGTATAGTGGCGACCTGTAATGAGATCCGGACAAGTTTAACTAGTAATGTTAAAGTGTTGGGGGGTATTTAATTAAAGAAAAAGTATATAGTTGAGGTGGCGCATGCATGCCTTTGTCAAAGTGAAAGTATGTGTTTTGGATTTGAAAGGCGCAATGCGTCGTCCACTACATGAGTGGGATGGACACTGGTAAAATGGTGATGTATAATTTTATTAAACAAATAAACAGTTGGATTATGTTATTCCCCCCCCCCCCACCCTTGCATTGTCTGTTAGGCAAGGCTTATATTTCTCTTTTTATCGAGTGTGGAAATATGTTTGTTGTTTAAAATTGTTCAAGTACAATGATAAAGGTAATAAGGTGATCTAATATTGTTTTAGAGATAATAAAATTATATTGTTACAAGTTAGGTAAAAGAAATCTAAGAATTCTGTAAAGAACCAAAACAATATATGATATATTTGGGTTATTAATATTATCAATCCATCAATAAATATATTATATCGTATAATTCATAATTTTAAAATTTTAACAAAATTATTAAACTTTTCGAGTATTTGTATTCCAAATTTTTGAGTTAATTCATATATCTCCAAACTGCAACCCTCGTTTTAAACTGGTTCATAATTTTTTTAATATTCTAATGTTATTCCCAAACTAAGATTTTTAATTCTCAATTAGTAATTAAACTTTTGAACATTCTAATTGCATCCATAAATTACGACCCTATTTCTAAATTAGTTCACAGACTTTTGAATATTCTAATTTCATCTCCAAATTCATCCGAACATGTACTTAATTTCAATCATAGTTTAACCTAACTTGCTTTTTGGAAACATATAATATTATAAACCGGCGTAACAATTTTATTAATAAGAGATGTGATTATTATATATGTATAGTTTGAGATGAAATTGGAATGTTCAAAAAGTTCAAAAAGGATCAATTTAGAATGAAGGTCATAGTTTGGGGATGAAATTGAAATATTCAAAAATTTAAGGACTAATTTAGAATGATAGTCAAAATTTAAGGATGAAATTAAAATATTTAAAAGTTTAGGGATTAATTTAAAGTGAATGTAATATTTTGAAGAATGTGATATAATTAACTCTAAATTTTATGTGAAAAAAAGAAGTACGATGGCGACGTAAAATAAAGTTTGGATAGTATAGGGGAGAGAGAAGATATAATGACATGTTTAGGTCTGTAAATGAACTGAACGTTCAACGAACCGTTCGTGAATCGTGCGGTGGGAAGTTCGTTTATGTGCATTTATTTATTAAATGAACGAACATGAACAAGATTTTGTGTTCGTTTAATTAAATGAACGAACATGAACATAGGTCTCGTTCGTTCATTTACGTTCGTGAATGTTCGGTTATGTTCGTACAGTTATGTTCGTTTATGTTCGTTCGGTTATGTTCGTTCGGTTATGTTCGTTTATGTTCATTCATTTATGTTTAACCCAATCTTCTTAAATCAATTTTGGTGACCAATTTGTAAGTATCTTAAAAATATTAATTAATCTGATATTCTGATGACTAACTCCATAATTAACCCAATTTTACAGGTCTGTTTTCATCTTTTTCTCTGTTTTATTTGGCTTAATAGTTGATATGTAAAGTTATTGCGGGTATCTTCACATCTAAAACTCAAGAAAACATCATACTTCTTTCTAGAAATAGATGGGAAGATAAAGGTAACAATCGGAAGAATATGAGCATTAGTAAAGAGAAAAATATATAGAATTTGCCAGAAAACAAAACAAAGGTTTCTATGCAATTTCTGAAAAAGAGTGTAATAGCAGAAGTGATGGGTTTTCCAGGAAGAACCCATTAATAAGTAGAAAATACACTTTGACAATGAACATTTGTTTTCATAGTTCTTGTGTGACCTTTAGTTGTGGAGTAGACTTTAAGTACGTTAAAATTTTAAATGGTAGTTTAGCAATAATATCAATTACGATATGTAGCATCGAATGGATTTCGGATCTATGTTATTGCCTTGTAGTCCAATTTGTACAGTTTGAAATCTTCATGCTGTTAAATTTTCTACTCTGCTAACGGAAAAGACCATTATTAACAAACCTCACTAAAGTCTGACATTAATGTTACAAAACTTTTAGCCGACGAATTTATTAGAATAAAGTAGTGGAAAATGATTGTTTATATGTAATCATGGACCACTAAGATAAATGTTGTAGCGTTAAATTAAAGTCGTGTGAATCATTTAATATCTTTAAAATATCGATCGAAATATTTGATATCTTCAAACATTTCATCACTGTTAATCAGTTCTTACGCTATTTATCACTGTAGATTTAGTTGATTTGCATTGTCGACTATTTTTCATGAAAGAACAATGGAAGGTAGGGTCTCCAACGTTTATGTTCGTTTATGTTTATGTTCATGTTCATTTATGTCCGTGTTCGTTTATGTTCGTTTATTTATTAAATGAACGAACAAGAACAAGTTATATTCTTTAATAAACGAACATGAACAAAAAAAATTTGTTCGTTTATATTCGTGTTCGTTTATGTTCGTTTATTTATTAAATGAACGAACATGAACATACCTCCGTTCGTATGCGTTCGGTTCGTTTATAGGCCTAGACATGTTTTAAAGGTAGAAATAGGATAAGATTCCAGCAATCCATCTATTATTTGTTTATGTATTTGTGAAATATGACTGTTCATCATCTCGCCATCAAAACCTTTCGGACCTCCACAACCCAATGAAATCCACAGTCGATCTTCTCCCCATAATTCGGATAAAATTTTAGACACGTAATCAAAATTTACCATTATGAATAAAAAAAAACAAACATAGAAATTTCCGACTCCTCCTGCGAAAGTTGCTTGATGAGCCAAGCCATGACACAGCTCAGCTAGGATAGTTTTAGGAATAAATATCATATTACAAGTTCAAAACCTACAAGGAGATGACAAAAATGGTAGCATCAGACCATTGCTTTTGTCTGAGAACTCTGCCATGAAAATATCTGCCAACACATTTAGAAGTGCTCCCTTTGGCCTAACGCCATTGCTAGCTACCATGCTTTCCGCATATGCTAAACACGTTGTTTTACGTACATCATCAGCTTTTACTTTTTGGCTGCTTTCTACTTTCATTCTCATGTGGAGCCTGCGTTGCTAGGTCGGACTCACACACTGATGAATTCACCAAAGACTGCCTTCAGGAGCCTCCGGTTCTCCTTCGCGAACTACATTCTTATTGTGAATCCTCTTATATCAAGACTTCCAAAGTTCCTAAAAGTTTCGGAGTTCTATATACACTAGACTGCTGCAGTCCCTGACATGGCCGTTGTAAATCTCATCACAAACTAAATCTATTATATAACGATCATGTTTATTTATCCTATCGACCTACAATAGTTATTATCATCCTAGGCATGACACTAGCACTAAAGTATATAAATAAACCATCATATAAAGAGGGAATTCTCTCTCCCTCGATCTCTCTTATTCTATCATTGCTCATCATCTTCTCGAGATAACTTAATTTTTGTATTCTTTATAAAACCTCCGTTTAAATCAAAAGAAATAAACCATCACACACGACTACAATCTCATTTCTTTCACAAGAATTCTTTCATCTTAACTTTCTAGGCAATGATGATTCTAAACATGAGCTATTTTGAGCAAATAATTACCAAGAGCCAATGGACGTATTGTATTAACACAATCTCAGAAATAAGAAGTTTCAACTTTGGACAAACATGGTCAAAAAACTAGATCAACGTGTTGCATGTTTGACACATGGGTTTTCAACACAGGACCATGCTACTTGGTCTGTAAAAAGTGTAGATAACACACATTATTTTATAAAATAACAAATCCAAAATTGATACTTCTGCAAGATCTATAATGTTAGAAACCGTGTATCGAAAATTGTAATATTAAATAAATAAATAAAATTTACATGGTACATTCTGTCTGATACTTTTGATTAAAGACCAGTTAAAATTTTTAGTCATTAAGGTATTGTGTTTTAAAATATTTTTTCAGCATTTTATTTTCAAAGCCAATATCGAGAATTAATTTGGGTTCTGATGATCATGTGGACTGTGGCATAAGTTCCAAGAGAATGGCTATGAAACCTTCATTAATTTGTTTTCCGTGGAACTGTATATTAAGACGAAGGCCAAAATTAATCTCGTGAGAACTAACAATATTGAATTGATCGTGGACATGGATGTTTTCAAATATTTTTACATGGACTTGATGAATTTATCAATATAAAGAATGAATAATTATTTTTAACGAATTATATCTCAAATTGTTCGAGTGATTTTAATGAAAAGACTTGATGAATTCATTTATTTAAAAATAAAAGTCATATCTTATTGTATGGATGGTCTTATCGAGAAGGACCGAATAAACTTAAGGTTGAGCTATTTTTTCTAATGAATTCGTATCTTAAAGGTTGAGTGATTCTTTGTGAAATAACTTGATGAAATTATCTCATCTATGGTGATGAGCTTATATAAAAGTTATTAGTGATTTCATATCCCTAATTCGGTTAGTCTAGGCTGAGATAAACTAGATGAAATCACATATGTAAGTGTGTATGATCAATCAGGTTCTATGAGAAATGTTGGGCTGCTTCTATGAAATACTGAGGGACGTTTGGTTCGCGAAAAAGATCATTATTAGGGGAAATAATCTTTTTCATAATTGTATTATCATGTTTGGTTCACATACAAGATTATAACTGGGTAATAATTTATTACCAATAGTAGTATTTTTTTTTGTTAAAATAGTGAAAATTTCATTACTTCTAAATTTTTAGGTATTGCACAATTTCCATCATTTTGGACAATAATACCCTTGGAATAATGAATCATTTCATATGGATCATTCTCAATTCTTATTCTTAGTGCTTTACTAAAAATTATAAACATAATAATAATATACAAAAAGTTTGATCTATTAAAATATTAATAAAATTGATTAGTTATAATTATTTTATATTTTATATTTTTAATATTTAATATAATAATAATTTATAAATTTATGTGGTGAAAAAATTGATAGTATCATTGTAAAAATGTAATTATTTAAAGTAATATCTAACTTTGAGTTATTAAAAAAATAAATTTTATATATTGGAAAAAACATCTTGTCCATTCGAGATCATAATATTATTTTTATATTATGTTATATTTTATATAAATAAATACAATACTTATAAAAAACATTTAAAATAAAAAATATAATTAATATCAAATATGATACTTATAATTAATATCAAATATTTAATAAAATATGTATTCAAATAATCTTATATTCCTTCAATCTAACATTGCCATCTTACATTTATGATTCTTTCAAAAAAAAAAAAAGCTTATATTTATGCTAAATAAATCAAACAAGATAATATAACATTCTCATAGTAAAGTTACATTCCCGTAATCTTATTCTCAAAGGTAAGTTTACAATCCGTGAATTAAACGCCCCCTATTACCAACATCATGAGAAGTTCTATCTATTTTATTAATTTATCGCATATTTCAATGGATAAATGAATTTAGTCGTGTGTTATGAGTTTATTCATATCTTAATATTATTTAGATTCACACATTTATTTAAGAGAAAAATCACCCATTTCATTTATTTTATGGACTAAAATAAAATTTTAAAAACTAAAGGGACCAAAACTAAGAAATTTGTTTAAAGAGCTTAAATTGTATTGATGATAATCAAGAGGGACCAAACCGACAATCGTCCCATTAAACCAAGGAGGCCACCCATAGCTTTACCCATTCATTTGAATAATTCAACCATTGGACAAATCTACCATTGTGTTAAAACTAACCATGTGATGTTGAACACTACCCATGAAGATAGAAAACAAAATATTTATTTTATTTTCTAAAAAATATTTTTCCTGCAATAAGTTGTAGTAATAAAATACAAAGATTTTTATAAGAAAAAAATAAAAAAAAAGGAAAGAAAGAAGGTAGGCACCCTGACCCTTAAGTGGTAGCGGATTTCATAATAACTCAGATACTCACTATCTATTTCCAGCTGCTGTCCAGGCCTTCAACTCTCTCTCTCAAAAATAAAAAAAAAATTGTCTTTTTTTAGTTTACAGATTCAACTTAGCAGCTTCAGTAACAATAGGCAGAACTCACTTTTGGTGGGGTTTGGGATACTAGTTTACTTTGGGGAAAAGCTTTGAAATGTGGAGATCCGAGTGAAGAAGAAAGCTAGGGTTTAGTTTAGCTTGGGAGACTTTGGGTGTTTATGAATGTGAAAAAGAAGCAAGATCTGATCTCCATGAGGCAGTTCTGAGTAAAGGGTCGTTCCCTGTTCTCCTGGATGTTTATTTTAACTTAAGTTGAGAAGCTCCTGGTGGAGGAAGGGGGGTGGGGGTGGGTAAGTTCTCTTTTTCCTTGTAGCTATGGCTGTTGCACCACTTCTGAATATACTTCAGTAACAAGGGTTATTTGTGTTTTCCGTTTCAATTACTCTTTTTTCTTCGGTGTTTTTTGAGAAAGAAGAAACCCCCATTTTTTCTGTTTTGAGATTTGAAGAATGAGGCTTTCTTCGACAGGGTTTAATCAGCAAACTGAGGAAGGTAACTGTTTTCAACTCTCTCTCTCCTTTTTTTTTTAAAAGTAATTTCCTTGAAGTATGAAGTCGCAGTAGGTTATATGTTTTTGAAATTATGAAGTAGTGAAAACTTTTTGTATAGGGGAGAAGAAATGTTTGAATTCCGAACTTTGGCATGCGTGTGCGGGTCCTCTGGTGTCTCTGCCGCCTGTTGGAAGCCGTGTTGTATATTTTCCTCAAGGCCATAGTGAACAGGTAACCATACCTCTCCCGTTTCTCATATTTGCTTTCGGATTTGATTCTATTTCTCCTTTTGTGCTCAAGAACACAGTCAAATTTTAAGGACAATGTAGAATTTGATGCTATGATAAGGATGTCTGTACATTTTTCGGTAACATGTAGTAATAGAATTTACTTTAAGCAGCCATTTCGGTATTGCTGAGTTTCTTCAATGTAGTCTAGATGTTGATGTATGAATTGGTTAGTTAACAGCTGAAGCTCCTAAATGATAAGAGCGTTCTATTAGGAACCAAATGCTTCTTTCTATTATTTCATTGCGCTGTTGGTTTTATGCTTCCTTCTGCAGGTTGCTGCTTCGACCAACAAGGAAGTAGATGCTCATATACCAAACTATCCGAGCTTACCCCCACAGCTTATCTGTCAGCTTCACAATGTGACTATGAATGTAAGTTAAATACTGCACAGATTACTTTTTGTGTATGGAACCTTTTAGTCGGTTGCTTATCAAGGCGTTTATTCAAGAACAGGCAGATGTAGAAACAGATGAAGTTTATGCTCAAATGACCTTGCAGCCTCTGAGTCCGGTATGGGAACTTGACCTTGTTTGGGGATTTAAGTTCTTGCTAGTCTGTTCATTTTTCACTTCTTGACTTGAAATCTTTGTTGTAGCAAGAGCAAAAGAATGTGTACCTACTGCCTGCAGAACTCGGTACTCCCAGCAAACAGCCAACCAATTATTTTTGTAAAACACTGACAGCAAGTGACACAAGCACTCATGGCGGGTTTTCTGTTCCTCGTCGGGCTGCTGAAAAAGTCTTTCCTCCTCTTGTATGTTTTCATTTGTTACAAGCAATTCAATTCAATAGCATCTGGTTTTAATTGAATTAGTTTATCTCATTATCTCTCTTTAAATATTATTTTACTTTTAGGATTACACCCTGCAACCTCCTGTTCAGGAGTTAATTGCCAGGGATCTTCATGAAAATGAGTGGAAATTTAGGCACGTATTTCGCGGTGAGTGATTAAAACAACTTTTTTCAATACTATGTCCCACAACATATTTAAGAGAAGTTTCAAATTATCATGATTTTGTTCTTTAATTTGTCATCACACTTAAATTGATTTTTGTATTTTTCTTATCGTCGGTTCATTTACTTTTTGAATAAGTTGTTATTTCATTTTGGAAGGTGCTGTAACATTTCTTTAACCCTTGGGTGTTTTATGTAGTTGTTTCTAAAAGTTATGAAGATGACCATAATTATATCCTTGCCATATGTTGCATTGGTTATTTCCTGATTATATTGTGGTTAAGAGCCTGTGGTGCTGAGGTTTAGGTAATATGCGGATCTTAGAAAGTGAAGTTATGTATGATGGATAAGAAAAAAAATGCAAGAGGAAATTTTCAATAAAATGTTACAGTTAATGCTTTCTTGTTGTTTGCTTCATTTTGTTGGATGCATGTTATTTTGTGAATTTCACAGCATGAGAATGACTACTTGTTTGGTAAGTGCTTGTTGTTTCTCAACAAAGGCGCAAAGTTTTCTAGTTTTGTGAACAAATGCCGAAATTCAATGACCAAGGTGCTTGTTTTTTATATTCTTCAAATGCTGTGGATGTGTTTTCTGATAGGAATATCAAATATTTTTGGCAATTTAGAAAGGTCAATTATCTTTAAATCCTTCATGTTGCGCTTTTGATGTGCTTAAGTCCTTTTCCTCCCTTAGGGATTGTGAGGGGGTTGTGAAGATCAATTAGCTGTAAGGTTCTTTTGTTAAAACAATTAATGAAACTATGAAAGCTTAACTATTGGCTAATGATGGTCAATTCATCTGGTAGTAATTCTATAAGAACTACATATGTGCTTTCTTGTATGATAAAAGGGTTTTGAATTTCAATGTGTGTAAAAATCCTCTAATCAATTTATGTATTCTCTCATATGCAGGCCAGCCAAAAAGGCATCTTCTTACAACTGGGTGGAGTGTTTTTGTTAGTGCAAAGAGACTTGTTGCTGGTGACTCAGTCCTTTTTATATGGTAAATTGGATTTTCAGTCTTCCATGCATAATTTATGATTATTTTGTTTGTAATCATAGTACCTTTGCTCTGTGATTGGCTGGAGTCGTATCCTGATAATAGCTATCAAATCCGTGATGTGGTTTCAAATGATATGGTGGAATCATCCTGCTGAGACTATTTGGCAGCAAAATTTTAGTGAACTGTAACTTTTCGGTATTTGAATATATCTTCTACAATAAAGTATTCAATTCCGTTTTTCATTTCTAAAGCGAAGAACCTACTGGTGTGCATCCTCCTTGTTTGTTGCTGAGGTGGCAGTTGGGTGGGTTCACTTGCATTGGATTGGGAAAATTAGGATAAATTTTCGTGTGGGTTGCATCAAGTTCTGGTCTTTTGGTTTATCATTCAGGATTGAATCATTTTGATCCACATCATTTAGTTTTGAAGTCAAACTGATTTAGTTTGCATCATTCAAGTGACATCTCTTGGTCAAATTGGGTTGGGTTGGGCTTGGTTTAGGCTGGTTTTTGAGTTCTACTGCTTTTTTCTCAAGACGCTACTGATCAGTGAGCTTGCTAATCATTATATTATCTTTTATTATTATTATTATTATACATGTTTTCTATCAGGAATGAGAAGAATCAATTATTGCTGGGTATCCGCAGAGTAAATCGTCCTCAGACTGTGATGCCTTCTTCGGTTTTATCAAGTGATAGCATGCACATCGGTCTTCTTGCTGCAGCAGCTCATGCAGCTGCAACCAAGAGCCGTTTCACTATCTTTTACAACCCAAGGTCAGCCACTTAATACTAATTAAAAATTACTGATGTTATTCGTACTTGAGATCTTGTTCATTTATGGTGGCTTGATTGCAGGGCTAGTCCTTCAGAGTTTGTCATTCCTCTTGCCAAGTATATTAAAGCAGTCTATTACACCCGGGTTTCTGTAGGCATGCGGTTTAGAATGCTTTTTGAGACAGAAGAGTCAAGTGTCCGCCGGTGGGTCTTAATTCTCTAAATGTTTTCTTACTTCTGCGAACTGCTTAAATTTTATGATGTTTCCTTCCGCAACTATGGTTCTTATTTTCCTCAAGTAAAAACTTCTATTTTTATCAGTCAATTGACTGTAGTATCATTTGCAACTTAAGTCACTGGCTGTTAATTTGAGTGTTTTATCAGATATATGGGTACGATAACTGGCATTAGTGACTTAGATCCTGTTCGCTGGTCAAATTCGCATTGGCGTTCTGTTAAGGTTGGTTTGAATTTTCTGTGCGCTTAATTTTAGTTCCCAATATTATATTTGTTCCCTTCTTTTTACCCCTTAAATAGGCATGTGTTCGATATTATCTGACATGAAAGAGTTTACATCCCAGGTTGGCTGGGATGAATCCACAGCAGGAGAGAAGCAACCAAGAGTGTCCTTGTGGGAGATTGAACCATTAACAACCTTTCCCATGTATTCATCACCCTTCCCCATGCGTCTGAAACGACCATGGCCGTCTGCGCTACCCTCTTTCAATGGTATGCTGGAATCTTTGCCAAGTTTGCTTGGAATTATACAACCTCTTCCTTGCCTGAAAATAAGAGTTTTCCTTTTCTGTTCTGAATGAGTTTAGTTTGTTGTCAGCTTTCAAAGATGGTGATATGAACATCAATTCCCAACTGATGTGGCTTCAAGGAGGGGTTGGAGATCAAGGACTTCAGTCTTTAAACTTCCAAGGTTTTGGAGTTTCACCCTGGATGCAGCCAAGGCTTGATACTTCTTCAATAACAGGTGTCCAATCTGATCTTTACCAAGCTATGGCTGCTGCTGCATTTCAGGAAATGAGGACAGTTGATTCATCGAAAATAGTCTCTCAATCTCTCTTACAATTCCAGCAACCACAGAGCACATCCAGTGGGTCGCCCGCTCTAATTCAGAGGCATATGTTGCAGCAGTCTCAAACAGAAAATGTTTTTCTTCAGGGTTTTCAGGAGAATCAGACTTCTTCCCAGGTTCAGCTTCTGCAGCAGTTGCAGCGTTCCAATTCGTACAATGATCAGCGCCAACAGAAGCAACCACTGCAACAGCAACAGTTGCAGCGTTCCAATTCGTACAATGATCAGCGTCAACAGCAACAGGCTCAACAAACACTTCAACCACCACAGATGTCTGATCAACAGCAGAGTTCTAATGTAATCCCCACTTTTCCTAAAGTATCAACCAGCCAGGCCCAGTCCTCATCTCTGCCAGCTGATGCTTCACAATGCCAGCAGCAGACATTTCCAGATCATCCTGGGAACTCTCTCGCCACATCTAACGTTTTGTCAATGCAAAGTATCTTAGGTTCATTATCCCATGCTGGAGCTTCCCATTTACTCAGCTTAAATGGATCAAACCCAATTATCTCTTCTTCTGCTTTGTTGTCCAAGGCAGTACCTATTGAACCACAACTTTCATCTGAACCTGCTAACTATGTACTGCCCCAGGTTGAACAGCTAGGAACTGCACAGTCAAGTGGACTTTCTAACCTATTGTCTCCATTTCCAGGAAGAGAGTATTCTGCTTACCCTGGTTCAACTGATCCACAGAACAATTTTCTGTTTGGTATTAGCATTGATTCCTCGTCGCTTATGCTGCAGCATGGGATGCCAAATCTGAAAAATATTGGAAATGAAAATGATTCATTGTCTTTTCCATATGCTGCTTCCAATTTCACAAGTGCTTCTGGCACAGATTTTCCTCTTAATTCAGACATGACTACCTCAAGTTGTGTGGATGAATCAGGTTACTTGCAGTCTTCTGAATATGTGGACCAAGTAAACCCTCCAACTGGAACCTTTGTTAAGGTGATGGTACTTTTCTTTTTTCTTTGCAAATGTCTTCGATTATTTTTACATGAAATGTGGGAGTTGTCTTATTTGGTTGTTAAGACAAATAAATCACTGCAAAACTCACATTAGATTAGGCAGAGCATTGCTGATCTACCGGATTTGTGAACCGTATTATTCTTTTCCCATTTTGGCTGATCAACTGGTTTATTTTAGTAACTGGAACATTTAGTTAATGGTGTGTTGTGTATTAATGGTATTGCATTGGAGACTTTCTATTCAGTTCAAAAGCTATTAGGATTATGTCTAGTTTCTCTAATGGCTTGTGATTCTCATGGTTTTTTGATCTTTTTCTTGTTGATAAGGTTCACAAGTCAGAGTCCTTCAGCCGCTCATTGGATATATCCAAGTTCAGCAGCTATAATGAGCTGCGCTGTGAGCTCGCTCGAATATTTGGTCTTGAAGGCCAACTGGAGGACCCTCAGAGATCAGGCTGGCAGCTTGTATTTGTTGACAGGGAGAATGATATTCTTCTCCTTGGTGATGACCCTTGGCAGTAAGTTCCAAACCACCATTTATTTTTGAATAATAATTCTGTGATGGTGTCTGTTGAGATGGTGATGGATAACAGTCTTTACTTCATAGTTATTTCACCAAATTTCAGACATATGAGGAGCGATAGTTTCTTTCAATGTTTTATGATGATCAGGGAATTTGTGAACTCTTGGTTCTGGTGACTTATTTTTTTTCTTCCATTCGATGTTATGTGATAATCAGGGACTTTGTGAACAATGTGTGGCATATCAAGATACTATCTCCGCTTGAAGTGCAACAAATGGGGAAAGAAGGCCTGAATCCTGCCCCATCTGACCCAACCCAAAGGCTCAGTCACCACCAATAGCCGCAACCACTGCGTTGACTACATAAGCAGACAGGAGTTGTAGAAGTTGTGGTAATGGAATTGCATCTACGGGACTCTTGAATGCTCCCTCGAGGCTGAATTTAGGGAACTGGAAATGAATGTCGTACCTGGTTGTTTGTTTTATGTGAAAGCATGTGTGTTCAAAATCTACTCAGTGTAAATTATAATAGGAAATCCTTGTAACACGACATTATTATGGTACCCAAGAGGCTAAGAGCACAGGTTTTTATAAGGGATAATTGCATTATGGTATCAGCAATAGTGGTTGGCGACTTGCCGTATTATCAATAGTTTTATGACATTATTATTTCCTCCATACCAGGTCTTTTATACTTGTTTTTCTTCAAATATTTAATTGAGCATATGTAGATTTGGCTTGCATTAGTTTTTCCTTAAATTGGAAAGGTTTTTGGTTTGGATTTTAATGGTGATCTTTCTACTCCCACTACATATGATATGACCACCTGGGAGGCAAAGCAAATTAGGAATAGAGTCCTCAAGTTTAGGATTTTATGCTACATTATGTTGACTGTAATTAGACACTAAATTGAGTTTTTATGAAGAAAAAAAACTAGGGTCATAAAAAGAATATACTTGTCTATTTTTATATAGGAGAACATGTATTTTCTAGGGCAAACAATATCTGAATCATGAATATGCTAACATGATTAATTTTAGTTTACGAAAATTGCACAATCATTTTGTCGGCCAAAAAATGATTGCACAATCATTTTCTTCATAAAAAAAATATGGTATTTATTTCAACCAGGGGAAGATAACAATTTTAGCGTCAAGCAAGACACCAACAACCAATTAAAAATAACAAAAAAATTAGAGTGGATAAATGAAATAATCAATCTCCCCCTCCTTATCCTTTGAATCTCTAAGATAAATAACACAAATCTTTTGAATTATATATAATAGTCATTAAGCATGCTAAGCAAAACACCATTATAGGAGCATTTGAGAACTCCCCTTACTACATTTCCTATAATTTTTTAACCCCCGACATCTGCTGCTATATTATTTCCTTCTTTTTCATCTCATTGTTTTTTCAAATTCCATTTGATCTCTCTTCTTCTGTGGCACCCATGACATTAACTAAAGAAACAGGAAAGTCTCTGCAAAGAGTCATCCCTGTATGTGTCATGGTCTGGGCACTGGACCGTGCCCGAGGCTGCCCATGACATGTAGGGGGAAGGCGAATGTTGGTTACCATTCCATTAATTGATTTTGCAGCAAATACGAGAGGAAATAAGCATATATTAGATTCCAGTACCTGAAAGGTATGGGCGCCGATCAAAGGATAGATCTGAAGTTTTCAACAGGATCCGACTCTTCGAGCATCGATGCTGCCTGGAGGCAATCTACGGCTTCCGAAAGGCGGCCATCATCCTTGTGTACCATACCTAAGTGATACCAAGCCTTACGGTTGGTAGGTTCGATCCTCAGTGCATCCGAGAGTACAGTTCTCGCCACAGGCAATGCAATTGACCCCATCTTGGTCAACAATGCACCGATCCGTACCTTGGACGGTAAAAAATGTGGGTCTAGCAGACCAGCATTCATATGTGAAGACAATGCTTGTTGGAATTCTCCACGTTCTTCATGCATAACACCTGGAATATTGTTACACAAACTATTAATAGAATTATAATATCTGGATTCTGGAATTTCTCCCATTTAGTTCTTGCTAAAACTCTAAACACGTGTTCCTTTCTTAAATTTAATTATATATAAATAATTTATTTCCAACACAAACAGCAGTGATAAAAATAAAACTAAAATAAAAAATATATATAGTTAACCATTAACAAAATCCATTTCAGAAAATGAACATTGCACAATCTCCACTATAAGCTTAACAAGTCAAAAGTATAGGTAAAAAAGAAGGTCCATTCAGTAAAATAAGGTTTAAAATCTTGCCTTCTGTATGCAGCAATTCCGCAGAATACTGTTTCATTTCTCTGGCTCTTTGCAAACATACTTCTACATCCTTCCAGTGTGAAAGACTAGAGTACAGAGTTGCAAGGCCGTACCAAACTTCAAATTCTTTTACTTTATCATCAACCTATCAGTAAAAATAATAAAGATCAATTTAGAAGCAATGACAAATTGACAACCAAAATATCAAACAATTACAACACTCAATACAACACAACTAAGCCTCTCAAGGGCTAGGCCTAACCCAAAATTTTTCATGAAGGAGATGAGCAATGTCACCAAATTCTGATATAGAGCATTTTAACTAAAAACAAAAGTGATAAACTAAGCTTTTTCCCGTTAAATGGATCCATGTTTAATGACATTGCTATGTTTGGATCCCATGCTTTTCCAATTGTGCTCTGCTTGAGTTCATTTCTTTTTCATAAGATCAGTAAAAGCAGGGGCCTTTCGGGTAATTTCTCGAAATCCTCTATTGCTATTCCCTCCTCCTTTTGGTAAGGCATCCAGAATTAAGTCAGAACTTAATTCTTAGAATAGGTCTTTGTCTCATATATCGAACAAAAGTAAACCATCCTCATTTCTAGGCTTGCTAGACATATAATGCATTGCAATTTCATAATTGTATAACCTTGATGTAGAACCAGTAGGTGGCTGAGATAGAGAGTAGAAAATTTGATGGAAAATCAGAAAAACAAACAATTGGTAAGTAACAGTGAAAATTAGAAAAGAAACAGAAGAACTAGGAAAGAAAAACCACAGAGAATCAGGGGAGAAAATCATAAAGAATCAATAGAGGAGAAAAAACCCCGCAAAGAATCAAGCAGAAAGCCGTAATGAATCCATAGAGGAGAAAATCTCAATAATCAGCATCACAAAATGTTCATTGTCCTAAACCTAAACAAATCTAAAATAAAAAGTACATTTGTAAGCTAACAAGATCTGCAAATAACATTTGTAAGCTAACAAGACCTGCAAATAACATATATAATACTAAAATCTAATGCTTAGAAATTAAATAAAATACTAATAAAAATGAATTTAAATTTAAAACTAGCCTAAATTTCTATGAAAATTACAATCAAGCTTGTAAAACGTAAAAGAAAGTCCCAAATAAATTAATCCCTCAACTAGCATATTTGTCTCCTCTATCAAACGATGTCATCGTCCCTCATATATCATGCACAACTGCCTGACAAGTCTAAAAGGGACACTAGTTCTGGTATCTGCTATAGGAAAACATCTTCCATGAGATAATTATGTGACCTCATTTCACTATTGTTTCAAGCGAGAGCTTACAATTAATAACCTGATGCTCACTCTGATGTTTGAAACTCAAAATCAGCATAGTGTTCAATAGGTAACACAATTAAAGCACAATGATGCCATAATTAGGCATATTCTTTCCTTAAAATAAGAACCTTGCTTCATTATTCAAGCAACAAAACGTAATTCAACGAACTGAAATTTTTATGGAAAATAGTGTGGTGTAACACCCTATGCCACATGGTACTACTAGTGCTGACATATTGCATTAGGAACAATTAAATGTGGATAAAAGAACCCCAAAACATTCAAAAGAAACATTATTATGAAAGACTTTTTTATTTCTTAAAGCAAATTAAGAAACAAAATATTTGATTGGAACCTGAGAATCAGTTTTCATAGGACCAAGTGCTTTTCTTTGGGCCTGAACCAATGCAAGGAGGTGACGATAAGTATCAATAGCTTTCATCGGTCGTGACTGGGAGACCCTCAATTTTGCTTTCAGCCTGAGCAGTTGTCCTTGCTCCCATTTGCCAGTCTCATCTAATGCAGCATCAGTAACTATCTCAGCCTCTGAAAATCGCTGTTGAGCCGACAAAATTAGAGCAAGCAATCTCCAACCCTTTAATGAAGAACCACCAGTTATATCAATGTACTTCTTTGCAAAACGCAAAGCAGCATTCAAATTTCGCTGCTCTGCATAATGAACTCCCAAATCAAAGATTATATCAGGATTATCCGGCTCAAGGGAAAGTGCTGACTCTAAAGATTTAAGCGATCCATTATGAAGTCGGGACCTTTCAAATTCAGAGGAAGATACTTTAGCTTGCTTTCCCAAACAAAGACCTAACATACGAAGACAGACACCCTGCAGATGTTCATCCATCCCTTTTGCACTATTGACTGCTCTATGTGCATATCCTACACCCTCGGCTGCAAGATGAGGATCCTCACTACAGATCTTGGCAGCCAACAATAACGCTGTGAGATCATTAGGTTTTTCGTTTATATGCATAGACTTTCTCAATATATTCAAGGCAGCTTTGTTCTGGCCCGCACCACTGCAACAAAGAGCTAAGAAATTCCAGCGTTCTGTACGATGAAATACTCCAGGCTTGAGCTGTTCAAGTTGCTTTGATAAAGCATGAGTTTGGCTGCATAAAGAAAGCGCATACATTAAGTTATCCATAACAGAAGGATCCCACTGAACAACGCCCTGGTAAATTTTTTGCATAAGAACCAACAAAAGCAGAATAGCCTCTTCCATATTATTTTTGGGTACATAAGCACCATCAGCTTGAGCACCTAAGCTAGGAGGACCAGCTTCCAACCCACTATGCAAGAGAAAAACTGCAAATGCTTTCTGAATTCTCGCACAACATTCATTATCTAAATTCCAGGGATTGAGCAGTACACGTCTATAAGTAGCCATTGCTTCTTGATAGTTACCAGCCTGCTTCAGAAGCTCCGGAAGTAGCTCAACCGCTTTACTAACCGTCTCCTGCAATCCACTCTCAACTTGGGCATCAGATATCCCTTGAGGAAATATCTTCCCCACAGCATCAAGCACATTTGTACAATCTTTAGCAGCCTCTACAAAACCAAAGAAAATGACATTCAACTTTGTATTCCTGACTGTGACATCAAAAAAAAAAAAGGAAGCGAGCTAGCTCTCTTTCCATTCTAAGTAAGATTCAATTTTCAACATAAAAGGAAGGCGAAATGTGAATCTTTTTCCAATACCGGCAAATTTTCCCAGCTTTTGAAGCGACTTGGCCTTTAAGTAAACCCCTTCAAGAACGAGCTTGGCAGCTTTTTGGTTCTGCGAATCACGATTAGCTCCACCATTGTCATAAGAAGAAGAGATATTAAGAAGAAGAAGGATTATATAATAAGGATTGTCATTACTGAAGGTTGCAGCCCTTGGATTGCAGCTTGCAGATCAATCCCATCTAATACCCGAAGTGCCGCTTCTACATTTCCTCTCTGATACTCTAATCTTCCCAAAAGAGTCCTCGCTTCCTTCAAAGCCAAACAAAATAAAAATCAAAACCCAAATTTTCCCTATTCCCAGATCACCAAAACCAGTATTCAAAAACCAAAAAA